TATTCCTGGGGAAGGCATAATAACCACTGTACCAGTGTTAGCAAGACAGTCTGTGGGAGCTCTAGCTCTGTTTTTCAGTGCACCCAAGCATGACTACCAGGCGGTAAAATGTGCCCCAAATGAGCTGTCAAGTATGCATTACAGCATAATAGATGTCTGGTGAGGCTTTACTATTGAGAACAAGTAAAGACTAGGCATGCAAAACTGAATATTATTACTCTACCAAGCTCTGCTTTTGGGACTGTGGAAAATAGGCCTTATTCTTAAAGAGCAAGGAAACTACCAGAGAAACTATCTGGGATGTGGAACAGAGTGTTGAGTTGTGGAGAATTCATTTAATTTACCTGAGCTACCAATGTGGGTTGGCATCAGCAGGGGAAATTTTGCGGAGAGGTCTGAGCTTTGTGGGACTTGATGGATGGAAGGAGAACATTGTGCATGAATTCAAATTTTCAATTGGTTTCACCTAAATCCAGAATCTCTGGTGGTAAGATCAGCTTGCATCACATAAAGTGCATCACATATGATGTGCTGTAGTAGTTTGTTTCCTCCAGTCGTTCTAGGGATTCCCTTTCTGAAGAGTCCTAGATTTAGATTTCACACAGAGGCTGTTTGTATTCTTGCCATTTTGAAGGTTGTGGGAACTGATGTATCTCTTGTCTAAGACAGCATCTGAAAAGTGGTAGGCACTGAATACCTTCTGAGGAATGGGATGAAGGGAGGGAGAAATGCATTTGGGGAACCACATGATTCATCTTTCTTTTCTCAGTTACAGTTATTCCATCTTCCTATTGGCATTGAGAGAGATGGGAGAGAAATAAAGTAGATATTTGGCTTGCTAAAACAAATTCTAAGCAGAATGGCATCAATTTTCTATCTTCCTTTTCCTTCAATCACATCAAATAGACTGGGAGTATAAATGAATAGAATAGTTTGGGTTTGGGAGTCACTGGGGAAAGGAGGAAGAGGGAACTAAGGTAGACAAACATATGCCTGTTCAAAGGTGGCAGTTGTAGCTTTGCCTTTAAGTGATGGTTGCCATAAACAATTTCAGAAAACAGCATTGTTACATCTTCGGAATTTAAAGAGAACTCAATCCAAATTTTCACCTAAAACACTCTTCTGATTGAAAAATAAAATTTTGCTGTACAAGGGATTGAATTCAGGGGGCTCTATTATTGAGATGCATCTCCAACTCTTTAAAATGTGTTTGTTTATTTTTTGAGACCAGGTTTTTCTAAATTGCTGAGACTGGACTCAAACTTGTTATCCTCCTGAACCAGCCTCCAGAATAGCTAGGATTAAATGTATGAGCCACCACCCTTGGCATGTTCATTATTTTTTCAACTCTGTGTACTTCAAGCGAAAACATCTCTGTAGGCCAGAGGAGTCCCAAGGGACTCCAGGATGTAATTTCTGAACTCTCTGGTCCTTAGCAACCCAGAAATATCTTAGTTGTCTTCAGTTTGCTTTTACTAAGTTGACGTTTACAGAGATAATGTGGAGATTCCACATTCTTGTCTAGTTTCTCAATGGTTGGTCAGTGATAAAGATGGGACTCCAAATGCAAAGGATTCCCACTTTAGGAACATGACTTGTGTGCCATTTACTCATAAGGCACTTATACTTTCAACCCAATTATTTAGGACTTCTTGGCTAAATGGGGGTTATATACCTAAAATGGGCTAGTGAGGAATGATGACACAAGTTAGGCCTTGGTGAATGAATCATTAGAATTGAAGCCATGTTTTCCAATTTGGTTGAGTCTATAAAGAAAATGGTATATAGTGTAACATTTCCTAATCCTGTTCCTTGTCTTTGGATGTTTGTAGATTCATTTATTTATGGACTCATCACACATTTTTTCAAGTACCTATAAAGTGTCAGGCACGATTCTAGATACAGTAGTCCTTTATAACCAATTGGGGATATGCTGCTTCAAGACCCCCAGTGGATTCCCCAAACCATGAATAGTACTAAGCCTTATACATTCTATATTTTTTCCTATTCATCAATGCTTATGATAAAGTTTAATTTGTAAAATAGGCACTGTAAGGGATTAACAGGTAATAAAAGAACATTTATAATAATACATTATAATATTTCAGAGCAGGGTGGACCATGAGTAACTGAAAGTGGGAAAGTAAAACTGCAGACAGGAGTGGGGGACTACTGTATTGCACTGTGGATGTAGCAGAGGACAAAACAAGTGTCTGTCTTCTGAGAGTGTACAATCTAGTGTGGGGACCGGTGTACCTCACAAAGAAGTCTTTTCAAAAGCTAGAAAGTATATAATTCCACACAGATCTCAGAAATATGCCACTGCTTGAGTTAAATGGCATAAGAGAAATGGTAATCAAGGATGTCGGGGGAAATTAAACAGGGAAAGAGCTAATTTCTGAGATACAATGCTAAATTTTATTTTCTCTGTGTGTGTGTGTGTGTACGTGTGCATGAGAAGCAAAAATTTTTATTTGCTCATTTCTTGAATTTGAAGTACTCTTAGATGACATCCTTGACCTGAAATTCTTTGTCATAGTCTTTAACCACTACACACAACTGCAAGATGCACTTTACAGAGTTAGCCCTCTGTCAATTTTTACAGAGACCTACCCATTCTTCCAGTTTTTTATTGTCATCAACCTTAATTAGGTTGATTTGGTGCTCGGCACAAAGCCTCCATCAACTTGACAAACATAGGCTCATTACAGTTGGATGTAAGCACACATTAAAGATAGACTTGGCACAAAATTTACTTCTGAGTCCAGATGCTGCTTTTCCTATTTTGAAATATAGCATTTAGTCCTGTTAAAGAAATAAAAGCTATCAGACCTATTACTAAGGATGCTCATTAAAATCCATTCTAGTTTTTGTTTAGTGAAGAAGTGATACCACTCACTGCCTTTTGCCACTATTATTTTAAAAAAAAAAGGCTCTTGTAAATTTGGTTCAAATCTCAATCTTGGAAATATTTACTTCTAGATTATTTGATCATCAATTCATGACAGAGAAGCATCATATGATTAGGAAATTGTATACCTTTTAATAATATAAGGGTCTCTTCAACAAATCAAGAATACCAAGACTCATCCAGATAAGAAATCAGTTTGGGATTGTTGGCTTCATCAGATACTTTGGGATGAGTTATCATTACTGTGATTTACTTCTGGACTTCTCACATATCCTTGTTGTTCAACCAAACATCAGCTGATGCTCATAATAACAAAGGCAAGCAAACAACTCTTTTTGTTTATTTGCCATGGAGAAAAACTTCAATCTTTATGGTACCCCAAGATAATACTAAAATGAACATGGTGGAACATCAAGATGAAGCAGGATAAGCAGTCCTTATTTACAGAGGAATGGCTGGCTGCTTAGGCTGTTCAGTGAAGTAGATCCTGTGATGAAATGATCCTGTACAGTGTATGTACCATAATTTGGCAAAACAATAGTAATACTTTAACAAACTCAGTAATTTTGGTAGGAATAGAAAATGGAAAAACAGCAAATATCAGGCATTTATCAATCACAGTCCTTTTTTTCCCCCCTTTTTACAGCAATGTCAAAGAAAAAACCTGAATACATTTTTATAAGCTGGCAGGCCAAATACTATTATTAGGAATATATAACATATGCCCCATTCAGTCCATGTATACACATATAAATTATATATATACATATATGCAAATAAAATCCTATTATTTTGGATACTTCTGAGTAAATTTAAGAACTTTTTCTTGATCTTAAGCTCTTGATCACACATCTCAAATCATTTTCAGGTATATAAACATAACCACATAATAGTTAGACAGGCACATGTCAAGTTTCTAGTTCAGGATAATCACCTTCTATCATTAACTCTTCACTGAAAAGGTAGAGGACACCTGTATTTGGACCCAGGTTTTGCAGAGGTTTTGGTACAAGTTTTGTTTTTAACCTTTCAGGGATGTCAGTTTGCCTATCCTAAGATGATTTGGCAGAAGGGTAGGACATGTTTTGTTTATTTGGAACACCATGCAAATGTAGTCTAGCTCCATTCTTAATACAAAATAGTTTCTCTATGCTTCTATGTTGATATTGAATCCATTTTGGGAAGAATTCATTCCATTTGGTGATCATCTTTGACAGGCAACATATGATATTGCTGAATGGCTCTAAGTACTCATTTCACTTATGAGGACTACTATTATCAAAAACAGTACCTAATTCATAAAATGATTCTGAGGGCTAATAACTGGAATGTACTTAATTAGAATGGAAAAGGGCATATAGTGAGCACTCAAATTTACTGATGATTGGTTACTGTTAACACGAATACTACATGCCAGGCTCTGGGCTAGAGTAAGTTAAAAACAGCCTCTGGCCCGTGGTCCTGTAGAATTTAGAATCATGGAATGAATGGGTTGAAAACTCCAGCAATGTTCAGGTTAGTTAGGACCCACAAATGTAATAAGTGAGGCTAGGTTTGGGAATGTAGTACCTTTATACCACACACCTGGTTGGAGAGGGTCGGGACAACTTGACCCAATAAGTGGTCTTCTGAATATTCTTGCTAAATCTTGCTTTTCAAGAGAAGTTAGGAACTTGGGTTATTAGGAGAAACTTCCCAACTTAGAAGAACTGGCAACAAATGTTAATTAAAAAACAAAATAATTGCTTTATGGGCTAAAAGCCACTGTAGGTAGGGTGGTTCCTGGTTGTATGTGCCAGTTTACAACTTTGTGACATGTTGTCTGTAGTTGACCCAATTTCTCACTTTTGGGAGGCAGCCCAAATAGATTACTTGTCATTTAATCTTTAATTCTTAGTTCCTTCACAAAATGCACAGTATTTAGATAAGCTGGAAGTCTGCAGAGCAGAATTGAATATTGGAGACCATCTCTTTAAAGACCACAGAGCTGCAAATAGGACAGGTATATTGGTGTGGCCAGGATTCAGTTGACAAGGGTTTAGATAACTACTTTTTGCCAGAGAACACAAGAACACTGTAGAGCACAGATAGGTGAAGAGTTTTAACACAATTTATTTTATCTTTAAATAATTGACTAGGTCATCCAGTGTCTGGTTTTTCATACATATGTCATTAAAGTTACGTGTCAGTGAATGCTGATTTTATGTGAATCATCAACAAATTAAAGAATTTCACCAAAACCCAAATAAAAATGCCCTTTCAAACACAGCAGCCTTATTAACCTAATATGACACTGCTAGAATGGTTACAAATGATTGGCTTACTGAAAGTTGTCTACATTTCATGGCTGGTACACGATACAGGAATAATTTTATAGCGTGCTGCCATTCTACTAGCTAAGGATTTCTGTTCAGTCCATTTTAAATCCCCCCAGCTGGGGCCTCTTATGAGCACCATCCACCTCTATAGCGGCAAGCATTTCCCCCTTTTAAGCACTAACAGCATCCCCCCACCCCCTAAAGCAACTACTGCATAGGTTTTTTTTTTTTTCTATTTTTAGGTCATTTCATTGAAAAATTGGCAATAGCAACAAATATTAGATGAAGGGCTTTGTGTTTACAGATAAAATCTTCTGTGTTGCAGTATACTGTAGTGTTTGCAAAATTGGAAAAGATTTAATCAAAATAAGGTGATACACATGCATCAAAATATTAGTATTCTGAAGAAAAATTTTTTCACAGAACTACAGAATTCCTCATTTTGGGAATTATTTAAATTTGCAGCAGATTTTAAAGATTTGCTTTTCTTTTTAAAATCAAGCTAGCAGTTTTGCATATACAAACATTATAATTGCTAATATACAAGAGTTGGTGAAGAGTCCCCCCCACCCAGAATCCCTCCCTCCCTCTTCTAGGGTGAAGTCACTTGAGACTCCTATTATTTAAATGCATTTGCAATATTCTGTTTGTGTTCTAAGAGGCAGTGCCTTATCAACATTTATTCTATCTGTCTGTTAGAATTTTTACAGTGTTATTATTTACAGCAAAACTATTGATGTTTTAAAAAAGAAACAAATAGTGTTTATACCCTGACAGTTTGGGTCCAAGAAAAATAAGGCGAGCTGTTGTGGATTTAGTAATTTTAGTGTTTCTACTTGATTTGATCATTACATCTCCTTCTGTCTCTTCTGGTGGCAGGAATTTCTTCCTTTTGTAAATGACACCAAATTACTTGAGATAAACTGTTAACAGCATGGCTTCTTGTATACACTGCATTGCTAATTGCACACGCGCCAATCCCGGAAATGAAAGTGAATTTCCATGCTCTGTAAATTGGCTCATGCTAAATTAAAATGAGTTGTTTTCTTTTTCTGGTTTTCTTTTTGCATAAAAAAATCATGCCATTAATGTGTGGAAGCAGCAAACACACACACCCTTCTCCGTAAATTTTTTACTTCCGATATTTCTTCCATGAATTTCTTTACCTGGCAGTAAAAACACATGATCCTGTGGAGAAAGAGACAGATATTAGTTAGCGAGTTTAGCTTTCTTTCCTTTAAAAACAAACAAAACTTGCCTTCCTTACTATTCAGTAGACAACGTTAGAGAACCAGGGCTCATTCTTTTCTAAAGGGGTGGTTACGCTACCTGCTAAATGCCTCAAAGGATAAGGCCGCAGGATGTTCTAGAAAGCTCTTGGAAGGCAATAACCTTGCCCCCTGATCTTCATAGAAAATTACTTATGTAGTTGTGATTTTTAAGAATGTGTTGGAAAGACCCTCTCCTTGTTCTGACTCTGAAGCTCAGGTTACTTAGTCAAAAGCCAAAATGATGTGGATGAGAGGTGATCATTGATGTCTCCATAAACATCAAAACGTATGAGGTCTGGGCACCAAGAGATAGGCATATGGAGTATCTCCATCATTTTTGTAGATTTATATATTCCTCAGCCCCTAAAATCCAACTAATCTTTCAAAAAGGGGAAACAATTTCATTAGTTCATATGAAATTGTTTTGCTTTTCCACATGGAAATTAAAGACTAATTTCTACCATTGCAAAGAATACAGTTCCCTTCTTTGCCTGCATTAGTTATGATGGGATAATTTCATTTGCACTTTATGTGGAGACTCCACTGAGAATGTCTTGTCTTACCGGAATTCCTGCATAAAGCATCAATGTTTTATGGCCGGTCTTAATGTGTCAAAATAAATCAACATTCTTGGCAGAGGTTTTCACTTCCCCGTCCCTGTACCAAGGATTGAATCCAGGGCTTCACATGGGTTAGGAAAGCACTGAGCTACATCCCAGCCCATTTTTTATTTTAAGACAAGGTCCTGCTAAGTTGCCCAGGTTGGCCTTGGACTTAAAATCCTCCTGCCTCAGCTTCCTCAGTACCTAGAATTAAAAGCATGCACCATTGTGCCCAGCGAGGTTCCCATACTTTGGTGCAGTACTGTTATTTGTATGAATCTTTTTCCATGAAACAAAGTTCTTCCCATATATAGCCATTTTTCCTGGCTCAGTGAAAAATAACTGAAAAACTTGAAGACTTGCCTGAGAACAAGACTGCCTCTACAGAAATCCTGAGTAAGAACAATTTTAAGAATAACCCTGTTCACTCCCATATACACAACAAACTATTCTTCACAGATTCAGAAGAACCTTTAGAATTTCGCTTCTCTTGGCGGCCTGAGAGTATTACCAGCCACTTTGAGGTTGTTGACTTACCCTAGACAAGTTTCTCTTTAGATGGATCACCTAGGACACATATGTAAATACATTAGAACAGTACTTCCTCATCTTCCCACTGTGGGTCTGGACTTCCTTTTCTTGTTTTAAAAGTGCTACTGACCTCCATGCCCCAGGTCACTACTGCATGGAGCCAAGAATACCGAAGTATCATTCCTTCTTGGGTGATTTCAACACCTCCCCCTCTCTCATGACTCTGCAGAAGTTCTAGAGAAGGAAAGTGACTCATTTCGATAGATCACATTACAGAGAGTGGGCAAATCCAAGTAAGAAGATAAAGATTTTCGCACCTCTGTTTCTACCACTTAGTCCTAATCTTCCAGGCACCAGGCTTCTTAGATGAACCGATGATGTTACTACCACAGGGCTCTCTCCATTTCATTATAATGGAGAGTTGTCAGCAGTTTTCTCTAGTTAAACTTCCCCCCACATTTTATACCTTAATTGGTACATAATTTATAAATTGTACTTTATCTATTATAGTTTGATAATTTTTAGTAAATTTATATAGATGTAAGATCTAACTTGAGAACTTTCTTGTTTTCTTCATTTCTTCTAATAAATTAATCCAACTTTCCAGATTAATTTCATATTAAGGTCTTTCTCTTCTACATCAGTATGAGCAAACTTTATTTTTCTAGAAATAGTTTCTAAGACTTTAAAAAACCTCTTATGTCCATTTAAATTTAGTATGTTCTGGGTGATAGTTAAAAAAGTTGAAGTTACCCTTAAAAATCTCTTGTTCTCAATCATGCAATTAGTTTGTGGGTCCCAACCACACAGGGTATTGAGATGTGGAATTGGACAAAAATCTTTTACCAAGTTCAGTGTTGTACAAAAAGATTAGAACCTTGGATAAGTGACTTTTTTATAAATAGACACTTTGTATAAACTGTGATTAAAAACACCAACTGAAGGGACAGTGTGAAGGCAGGAGTCATCAATGGCATTTCAGAAACAGGATTCTGAATCATCTCCCCTTGCTGGGTTTAGATAATGGATATGAGATAGACAGGTTTGATTTAGGAATTCTTTTGTGGGTTTGGTATGCCTTTTACCTCCAAAGGCAGGAGAAACTAACTCAGAAAACCAATCATTCGTGTAATTTCACAGTGATTTTTTTCTAAGAAACATTTTAAAATATAGAAAAAACAGCAAGTAAATGTTTCTTCATGGTAACTGATAATTCTCAAATATTATACTTCACATCTTCAAGTCATGTGTATAAAGGAACCAAACCTTCCTTTATAGGCAGTTTTTAGTTCCCAACACCTAGCCTAAAGAAGTGCTATATCTTTAGCAGGATCTGAAGCTCTCTGAAGCCTATCCCCATACAGTTTTTTTAAATGCTCACTAATTCACACTGTCTTGTTTCATAATTTCTAGTGGTTTTAAAAACTGATTGAACAAAAGAATTATCTGGGAAAATTTAAATCCTAATGTCTAGCCCACATTCCATATGGGCTTATCCAGAATTTCTTATGATTAGGCCCAGTACACAATTATTTTAAAATTCTTCAAGTGATTCCAGTGTTCTACTAAATTTGAGAGCTAGTGATGTGCCCTGGAGAAGTGCTTCTCAAAATTTAATATGCAGATAAAGCACCTGTGGTAATCTTCAAATGTAGACTTTATCTCATAGGTCAAGGCTAAGCCCAGACATTCTGCATTTCATCGTAACTACATGCCCAGTATCAACTTCATTGTTTTCAAACTTTTTTTTTTTAGCTCACAATTTGTATTCACCTGCATCCCCACCTTTTCTAATCATGAGATCTTTCTGTATGCTTCAAGTTTGTTTCAAATGCTCTCTCTATGGAAGGACAGACCCTTGTGATCTATCTTTTGTCACCTCTCATTTAGTGTGAGAATTGTCATAGCTTGAGGAAAGCCCTTCTGATATATCTTCCTCACAGCCCACAGAGGACAGATTTCTTTGCTCTAGTTCTTCCTTTCTCCCCCTGTCCAGCTGCCTCTTCCTTCCCTTCTCCTGTCTCTAGTCATATGGGCAAGAATATTTTTTCTAAACAATAATTCTAACTACAATTATAATAAACTACAGTTTAGTTTTAAAGTAATTTCCAATTCATGCAGATTTTTTTTATTCAACTAATACCAATAGATGGGGCATTTTTGAGTTTGTTCTTTTCTAGTGACTTGTGGTTAAAAAAATACCTGAAGTTGTAGGGGCCAGCAGGAATAAAGGAAAATACTGGACAAATATTGGCCTAAAATTTTTATGTTTATTGTGTGCCAGGTATTGTTCCAAAGAGGTTAACTCATTTAATCCTAATAACCAAAAGGGATTATTATTTTCTCCATTGTACAGATAAGAAAATAGAGACACAGAGGTTAACAAGAAGCTCCAGGAACTACAGCAAGTGGCAGAGTCAGAATTGGCAGTCAGGCTACTTAACTCTAGGACCTTGCTTTTACCACCCTGAAGCCAAGGCCTTTGGTTAATGAGTTATGTTTTTATTTTTCTTATTAAAAAAAAATCTATTGCAAATGAATTCTGGGAAAATAAGCTGGAGGAAAGGGCAGGATTCTGAATTTGGAGTGAAGCAATTCAGATTGTGGCTTTGCCTTCTTGGAGGCAGATTCTGGAGATGGGGGTTAAAATCCAGACCTACCATTAACTGCAGTCTCAGGGATTTTCTCTCATTCATTTATTAGTAAAACAGATATTCTCATCCCTTTTTAATAATTTCCCAGTGTTACTATGAGAAACAGTGTAAGGAATAATTGAAAATAAACAGTTGAAAGTAAATCCTCATCCATCTCATAAGGATTTCAGTAATACTGCTGTTCTGACTTCTCCCATGTTTTATAATAGTGTCCCAGGCTACTGCTCAGTCCCCCAGCCTCCATCACTCAGGCCATCCAAGGTTCTCTTCTTGGTTTTCTTATTACTTCATACTAATAAGAATAGCTCATGCTTACTGTGGCCTTAGCAGCTACTATTATTAATTTACATGTATTAACTCAATTTAGTTCTAAAACCAATTCTGAGATAAGTTACTATTATCCTTCTTTTGGGAAGAGGGTTATTGCTATTCATTAGAGCTTAATTTCAAGCCTCTTGTCAACTCAACTTGGATGAATAGAGGTAAAGAAATTAAGACACAGAAGTAACTTGCCCAAGCACACATAACTAGTAAACTACTTGGTAGTTCCATCCACTCAGGCCACTTTATTTCTAACACCTAACCAAAGGTGGCCGCATTAAGATCTCCAGCTCAGACAGACTTGTTTGAAATCATTAACAAATAATGAGGGTACCGAAATGCGGCATTTATAAAGGCTAGTTCCTCACCTGGGCTTCCTTAATCCTAAATTTGTTTTTGTGGTCTTAGGGTCAATCTTTTTGTTAATAATTACATGTAAGCTAGAAACCCTGATGTCATCACCTTCACTCGCTATGTAGAATTAATCTGATTGTTAGCTAAAATATTCCTCAAATCTGCCTTCTCCTTTCCATTGTCTTATTCCAGTTCAGGCCCTCTTCTTTCTCAACTGTGGGCCTTGAGTTCAAATTCTTTTTTTTCCCCCACTAACTTCCTCTATGACCTTTTAAACTTCCCTGAAAAATGTCCCTTAGGACTTGCTCCTTAGCTCCTTTTCTGCTCACTTCAGCTTTTTCTATAGGTAACCATATCAGTTCTTTAGTGTTCAAAACCCATTTCTTCAGAATCCAAAATTATATGTTGAGTCCCATCTTTTCCCTAAAGCTCTAGACTTATCTAAATACTTGGAT